AGGCCACGTTTGTAGCCAGCAAAAATGGCCTTGCACCACAGCCTGAAGACATGGAGAACGTTTGCAAGTTATAAATCACTCCAGAGCAACAAAAGTAAAAATAAACCATGTGCTGTTTCAGCAGAAACTAATCCCACCAATTATAAACTAATTCCACCACTAAACTGGTAGAAATTCAGCAGAGGAAAAACCCCACCTTTACAAATCAATGCAAATCGTTACATTTGGTGAACAGAGGAAACCCAAGTACCTAATAATGAAGTATTTATGAGAACGTTGCAGCTTTCTGACCCCACACTACAGGATTTACACTAAAGGTGAAGTGCTTCAGCATCAGCAGATGTTTCCAAATGTCTCCTGACACTATAATGAATAAATACAGCTTTTGTCTACACACCACAAAAACAGTCTCCCATGTTACAAGAACTCCTATAGAAAGTAGAACTGCTCCTAGTTTGTAGCCTCAAAGGAATTAGCTGCAGCCTGTGGAGGCAGCCAGTGACACAACTCCACATCCACTGGACACAGGCACCACACAAACTCCACCGCAACTCCTGAGGACCAAGTCCTGTCTGCACTACGCAGGTAAAGCCATTATAAGCTGCTCCACACACCGTGTACACAGCACATCTGCCCCAACCGCATCCATCACCTGTCCCGGGATACAGCAGGATCAAGCTGAGATACCCAGTTCTCCCTGCCACATGTACGTAACAGGAGAAGGACTCCACGGACAACCGTCAAGACAAAGCTGTGATTCACAAAACCGTTCAACGGTTTGGGTTGGAAGGGACATCAAAGACCACCCAGTTCCAACCCCCTGCCCTGGGCAGGGACACCTTCCACTAGACAGGTTGCTCAGAATCCCATCCAACTTGGCCTTGAACACCTCCAAGGAGGAGTCCACAACTCCTCTGGGCAATAGAGCGCTCAGTCAACCCCCCTCGTTTACAAACTCAGTCCCTACATCAACAGAAAATCTCGATGGCATAGCAGCTCCCTTACTCAAGGGAGTGGGATAGCCAAGCCTCTCTTGCACACGGGAGGTTCACAAACACTGTGCTAACAAAACCACCATCGACATCCTGCATTTACTGACAGGCCAAGGAAACCTCGGCACAGCCTTGTAAGAGCTGTAACAGCCCGTGACAGAAGGCCCGTGTGGGCCCAGCAGGACACCGGGCAGAGAAGACATCCTGGACAACCAGAGCAACCACAGGAACACGGATCACTGCCCGCTGTTTTAACACTCCCCAAAATGCCCATGTGAACAGCGCTGCAGCAGCGAGCCTAGCCCCGCCGGGCAGTCACTCACCTCCCGGTCATGGCGTCCTCGCGCAGAGCCGGTCCCGGCAGGCCTGGAAACGACACACAGCGATGAGCGGACCCGCGGGGTCCACCCCGAGCCCCGCGACCCTCCGCTCCCCCACAGCGCGGCTGCCCCGGGCGCCTCCGGCCCAGGGCCCCGGCCCGCCACCGGCACCATCCGCCGCGCATCGGCGCCATCCCGCGCTCTGCCCGGCCCGCACCGCGCCATCCGGAGAGCCCCGGGAGCCCCGCGCCCGCCGCCGAGCCTCACGGGGGAGGGCGACCCCGCCCAGCCCCTCTGCCCTGCCCGAGCCCCGCGGGCCCCGCTCCAACTCACCCCGAGCGCCCCAAGATGGCGGACAGAGAGACCCGCCCCGCGCGGCCCGCCGGGAAGGACGCCGCGAGGACCCGCCGAGTGCCGTCCGGGCGCCGCCTGAGCGGGCGGCACCGAAAGGAAGGTGGCAGTGATGATGGTGGGGGGCTCAGCGGGGGCGGCGCGGGGGTCGCTGTGACCCTCGCTCCGTCCCGGGGCCACTGGGGGGCGATCCTGGGCGGGAGATACCGGGAGGGGCGGCCCCGGACCCATCGTGCAGGCGCCCGCCCGGGCAGCCTCGCGAGGCCCCCTAGCGTGGTGGTTGCCATGGAGACGGGCGGCGCGTCCCGGTGAGGGCGGGCGAGAGGAGCCGCACCGGGATCGGGGGAGGGGAGCGGGGAAAGGGGGGAAATCCCCGCGGGAAGGTGAAGGGAGGCCTGGCCGGGCTGGGCAGAGAAAGTGAGAACCGGCCGTGGCGGTGGAACGAGCCGACGAGCCCGGGGAGGGGAAGGGCAGCGCTTGGTGTTCGGAGTGGGCTCCGGGCCCTGCCCGTCTTCCTCTGTTCTCACCTTGAATTGGTGAATCATTTCGTATTTATTTTACTCCCGATATCGCCTCGGTGACAGAAAACACGTTTCTACACTGAAATCCCTTCCCTTCCCTTCCCT